TGTGGGAAAGGTGTTGGTATGGTGCGAATCACTACCCCCAATGAGTTTCGAATAAACTTCTATGTTACACACGTAAGTAAACTTTATTATACGTTTGAATTTCTTATTTATAACAGCTGAACATTCTTCTTCGAACATTTTAGTCATATTTGAACGGACCTCCACTTAAAAGCATTTCCTCATAAATCAGGGCAGACTGTACAGTACTCGAGCGTTCAGAGTTTCTCGGGCTGTGAGTTCATGAGAAGCAAGTAATTTTTTTCTTATGTCATTAATCAGAGATCTCTTCCTCGAAAAAGAGGAACATTACCACATAGTATGTCCGTGTGATACGCTTTTGCTTTCCTCATTTTGTGAAGGAAAATTTGCACGAGTCCGTATATAGAAAAATATCAAGCAGTCCTGCATTCAGGACATTTTTGAGGCCTGGATTTTCGGCAGGTTGATTAAGTCTTCCCGTAGCTTATCCCACCTACCTACCATCCTGTTAGCAGAGTGGTAATTTCTAAAGAATTGAAGTCATGACTAAGCTTTTCTCCGGGGTAAGATCAATGAAGAAGATACCATGATCGAGTCCACCAAATTCTTCCTTGATCTTAAAGGCTTTTGGGAAATATCTGCGCGTTCTGCTCTTGCTAATGGAAACATTTCGAGCACATTGCCTTTCTTTGTGATATTTCCCCTGTTGGCTCTCAAGCCTTCTTGCTGCTCGTTCCAGGAAAGTTTCTTGGAAAGCTGTCTCTTTCCTGCAGAAGGGTATCTAAGTACAAACACTATACTCCATTTGAGATCTTAATAGGACATAGATGGCTATAAATACTTTTTATTCTTGTATGAAGGCGCAAAACTTAGTCGGAATGGACTCTATCCATCGATTTGCGTTGATACTTCACATTTGGTACCATAACTGAAATCTGCAATCTCTGCGAATCCCAGATCCAAAGTCTTTTAACGAAGTCCAGCACAGGTTATTTATGTTTGATATTGATAGGGAGTTTATTACCGTAGATTCTGGTTCATTATTTTTCGGCATATGAACGCTTCTAAAATTTCTAGCTATATTTCTTTGCTCTGGTCATTTGCGTAATTCATAATTCGGAGCACCTACGAAATCTTTAAGATTGCGTTATGAAAGGATATATATTACCTTTCCAATTGTTGCTTGACTTTCATATCCAATTGGAACCTATGCCTTCGCGTTTGTTCTTATAAAGCTTACTGCTGTATTCATGGACTGTATAATTTATCCTTTTCTTCTATACTTGTTTGATCTCCATCTCACTCTGCTTTATATCCCAAATCCCTACATTTTTATTGTTGCGTTAGCATCATATTTATGTATAACCGTCTTTATAGATGCGGTGCTGAAATAACCATGGTTTTAACGCAAAATATAGAATCCGAAAGGGGCTGCCAGCTCGGAGGTTTGGTTGAATCGCAATGTTAAGTACTCTGTTCAGCGTTTCAAGCGTCGGTGAAGACTGTATATTGGGTGCCGCCTACTTCCTAGATTGTTTCGCTAACGCACTGTCTTTTGGGGCCCGTAGCACGGATGAGTGGGAATAGTTGCCGGGTGTTGCTACACTTAGCTGCTGATTTTACCTCCCCTGCACCTGACATCCACCAGGCTTCTTGGTCGTCTCTCAAACTGTTTGCGAGTTCAGTCGTCTTTTACACATCGTCTCTTTCTATAGTCAATAGTTGTGGTCAATCTGACCCCACGTCTGTGCCAAAGAGGGGTCACGCCTGGTGGCGTGGTGACGTTTAGAGTGTCCGAAGTTTGTGCTAACGAGGAATAGATCGTATTCTGAGCATATACTAAGAAGTCTATTCCCATTATTTGAACGACAGCTATGAAGGTCCTGACGGCCACCAAGGTGGGTTTCATTGGGTAATAGACGACCAACGCGGGTATTTAGGTCTCCGATCAGGATCACGATATCCGTCTTAGGTGCTTTGAGAAGCTCAAATAAGTTGCTATAGAGGGCATCTCTTATTGTATCCGGGCTAACGTCTATGGGAGCGTATGCAGAAACCACGAATAAGCACCGTTCATTTGGTTTCTACTTTTTGAATTTACTTGAGCCTCGGAGTCTGACTGCGCATAGTCAGCTATCTACCGGGATTCAGTCCTATAGACCATCCTCGGCCTTGGCGCTTAAGGCAGCACCAACGCTTGCTTGTCGAGATGCAAATGTGATAGAGTCCCCGAAACACGCAGTTGAAAAGCTTCTTTTGGATTGGAAGAACACGTTAATCGAATCAACTAGCTCGAATCCTGAACGCGTATTTTCGATAAGCAACACATCAATCTCTAGACTTTCGACGGTATGAGCCAAGCTTGCTAGTTATCATATACGCATTAGAGTTCTAACGTTGAATGAAGCCAGTTTAAACGCAGATCGAGGAACAGAACGTTTGGCTACGAGTGATCAGGCATTGCTGAGACAGATTTCAAGAAGAATACCGGCGAGTTACAACATGAATCTACGTCAGTGGAACCATTCGAGATAAGATATACCGTGGGGAAAATGGGGGTGTTGTGTGTATGGATGGTGGAAGTGTTGCATGCAGATTTTGAGAAGAGAGAGTAAGAGATTAAGAGTCTCAGAAATGTATGAATGCGTAAGTCCATAAGTCCGTGGTTAGATTGTGCCCGTGGTACTACCCGGTTGCCCAGGCCGAAGTAGAGGGATTTTCGGGGGACTCTACCCAGAGCCTTTGGTAAAACAACCTGACCCACAAACATATGTATATATATTTCATACACTTCTGAGGTCAGACTCTGTCAAAGAAATCGAGGTGGAATAATTTTTATAAAAAAGACTAAAGGCTCCAAATTGTACAAATCTGACCCACAAAGCGGTACGGCGAGGGTGGTTTGGAATCAGGGTTTAACCAACTCCCCTAGACTGACTATTAATTGTCATTTAACCCGGTGGGAAGCGCTGGGTACTTACCTTTGCCCTCCCAGTTTAGTGTCAACAACTCCGCCACGAGAAGGCAGTGAGTAGGAATTCCTCAGTAGAGGCTATTTGGGGCGATTAGTTGTTTGGGAACACTCCTAGAAGAGTTTGGGGCAACAGGCCATTTTGGAGCCCGAGACAGCCACTCCCGACCATTCTGAGGCATTTGGAGGCTTCAGCACCATCTTTGTTCACAAGCCGGTGCTATATCTATAATTCACATACGATAGCTGTGTTTATGTTTATATACATTTTCGAGCTTATCGCAGGACCTCACAGTCTGTTGTAATCTTTCTATTTCAATATTATTATTATTATTGTTATTATCATAGTTCACATGCGTNATAAATCATAGTACAACAGGCTTTATAAGACGAAAAAAGTTCTGAGTTTCTTGTGAGCTGAATACTGCCAGGTTGCTAAGGCCAAGGCAGGTGAATTCCTCTGTGGAATTCGCAACCGGCACCGTCGGCTAACACAAATCTTAAACACAGTTCAGTGGGGCGGTGTGTAAAAACCGCTAACCACGGAGACCAGATCTAGTTTATTGGATTAAACACAGTGGATGGGATTCAGCTATCAGGGTGCCCAATCAGGCCGATGACCACTACCACAACCAGCAAAGTGTATGTATGTATGTGTGTGGTTCTTACACCTCTTGCTTTTTGGTTTGGAATCAGGGTTTGTTTCAGTTCTTCTAGGTTAACTGACGGTAGTTCACCGACCTAATTATAGCCTCACATTTCGGCGTTTACTCTGATGTGGACAGAGGAACACCACCATAGAAAGGCATTGGGTAGGGCTTCCTCAGCATAAGCTAGTTAAGACGCTTTGTCGTACAGCAGCATTTCACGAGATACAAGACAAGGGTAACCAGCCACAATCCAAGATCCCCATGTCTGATAACATTGTGTCTTTTGGAGGATTTTCGTCTTGGAGTTCCTAAAAACGCTCTTTGAATTTCTTCCACCGCTCCTCCATGATGATCTGGTCACCTATAACTTCTCACTCTAATATTAATGCCTTTTCTTGCGATTTTTTTTGTTCAGTTTTCCCATATTTCTTTTGCTGCTGGGTATTTCAGACCAGGAACTGAGCATTACCTTTATTATTAGTTGATTATTCTTCCCAACCGATGGGTGATAGGTGATGACTTCTACGTTTCATAGGTATTTAGTGAACCTCAGATACAAGAGCGATGGGTTTCGCTCGGTCCTGAATGTAATGTAATAGAATGTAATGAATGTAATGTTGTAATGAAGCTGTGGGATAAACCTGTTCCACTAATCTTTCCGCAGGTGTCTCGTGAAGTCGAGTTCCAGTTTGCACGAACAACAAACGTGCATTGTCGTGTTGCGGTTTTGGCCTTTTGGTAGTTGGGGTTTCTAAGAAAATCTAGGAGATTGTTTATGTTTTACATCTGAAAAGGTTAATGTACCTTAATAAGCGTCGAACAGATTAGTGTTTCAGTATTTTACTTGAGTTTTTCGAATATCTCCCATGTAAGTCTCTTTCCCTTAACTCTCTGTCTTAGCAAGGAATTTATTCAATGTTCATTCGGGCATCTATCATACAAAACACTGTCAAGTCATGGGACAACTTGTTATTTACCTTCTCCACCACTGCCACGAATGATCCATTTCACAGTTTGGTGATCTATCTCTGAAGGTAATATTTTAGTAGAAGGATTACTGACTAAAGCTCCAACAGGATCGGTGAGGGCCTTGGATTACGTAAGTGACCCCCTTGGAAGAAAGATAGCTAGTATCTCTAGTTCCATATTCCTCCGCATAATTTATCTCACGTAGATAGGACAATGCTAGTTAAAGCTGGTGAAAAACACGCGATTCGGCAAGCGTATAATGCGATTTATTGACTTGAGGAAATAAATAATTTTCTTTTCATGACTGATGAGTCTTCTGATCAACAGCCCCCAGACATTGTTAAACAAGCTCTGACAATAAACTAACTTTTGTTAGCTGCCTGTGAATTTCAAAAAGTTCAGAGATCCCAGATACAAGGTATTACGACGGAATGCTAGATACCTCTAAGGTTGGTAAAGAGATTGATCTAGATTTCACACTGTTTACAGATTTCTGGGCCAGTGGGCAGTCGCAGAATCAAATGTCTGGATTATTCGAAGAGCTTTTTACCAGAGGGAATTAGAAAGATTTTAGAAGCTATACAGAGTGTTTGTCTGCTAGATGATGAATAATGTCGTTTTGGAAAGGTTTCGTAGGATTCACGGTTTTTCAGGCCTGCTTACATTCAGAGACTATAGTTTCTCGGTCTGTTTTCTCATTACAAAACGTTACGGTGGTACTTTATTCTAGAGTATCATATAAATTAAGGTATAATGTGCATTGACCTAATATTCTATAGCAAACCTTGTTGGTTTCCCCTAAAGAGCACTGTACAGGCTCAAAAATTCAGATGTGATAGAGTCACTGCGGAGATCAGATTATCTCGTCAGATCGTCACCCACTGGGAACCACTCCCAAAAGATTTAGTTGTCGCTTTTAGTGCATAAGAAAAAAATTCCTTTCCATTTTTCTGACACCTGCTCCATATTTCTTTCTGAACCCTTTAGTATTTTCAGCGGTCATTCAAATCCCTCCTGATTTGCGTCTGTTATGACGCCATCTGTAATCTAACCATAACAAGCTTCATTCCTGATCTTTATTATTTTACATTTTCACAAAATGCGACAGCTGAGACAGCTAGCGCTATTTTTAGTCAGTATTACTGGTGGGATCCTGATTTTATTTGTGCGTTTTTGGCTTGGAATTCAGATACAAGCCATATACGATCTCTCCTATATTCAAAGTAGGAACAACTTGTAAAAGAACACTCATTGGGTTCCCACTCCGAATGTGATTGCTACTCACTGGTGTGAGGTATCAGGTTCACACCCCTTTTGTGATTTCTACATGCCATGGGTTACCACGTAACAAAGGTAGCCATGCTTTCAATAAAGGTTAAGGATATTCCGTGACTGGGTGCAAAAATCATAATCCCTGAGAAATTAAGGTTTCTGAGAAATGAGTTGTATTGGCAGAAACACATAGAGAGTTCACTCGCGTATACGAAGTATTTATTCATCCTCAATACCAGCGTTAGAACTGCCGTGTGTGAACCAGCAAAATCAGTGCTAGCATTCAGATGTTTTCAGATTGTTTTACTGACTCTGCTTTGATCATTTCTTTTCAGCTGGTTGCACGTTACGAGCTAGATCGAAAGCGTGACCGGTTTCATGGGCACAGAACTTCGCAATTAATTGAGCTGTTGGAGTTTATTCGCATCACGGCGAGCTCGTCTGACGCGGTTGTGATCACGGGAGACTTCAACCTCGAGTCCAATACACCAGATATTGCATTCTTCAAGTCCTATTTGGGAGTTTCGGACGCATGGAAAGACAGTGTGAGCTCAACTTATTTGCTCTGGCAGTGTTTCGACAATGTTTTATTCGAGATATTTTTCGTGTTTCTGTCATGTAATATTTTTTTTCTGTTTGTTAGAAGAAACTTGAAAGTGATAATTGTTTTAAACATGACTTGCATGAATTTTTAAAATCTAGTAATTTCGCCGTGGAGAATGTCATAAAAACCCTCCAATCGCAGTTTCACATAACCTACTGATCTCAAACCTTCACATTGCTACCGTTTAACACAAATAGTGAAAATGCAGGAGGACCACGTGAAAAATATACAACTGAATGGGCACAATTATTGATCATTTTAATCGAGAATATGACAAGAAATTGAAGAATCTTCGTATTTCCTTTGGGCTGATATTCTTGATCAATATCGGTTGTGTTTGACCGTTTACGCATCGAATTACATTACCTTATGTATTATAGTTCCAGTAATAATCACCACTTGTGCCTGTTTTTTTCAAACACCATTTACATATTACGATTAAATTCTGATATTAGGCCGTATATATTATGCAATGGAAACCTAATTTGCAGCTCGGGCAGTGCATTCGAGACGAACAAGTCTCGAAAGAATCATTGTGATGTTTGTGTATCAGATGTTGTGGGTTGTAAAAGTTTAACCTCAGCCTACTCGACGCCTGGGCCGATTTTCGGTATTTTTATAATTCGTAGTAAATGAATGACTGGAAAAAAATCCCCCGGAAGCACATGATCGGTTTCGCGATCTTTACCGATCGTCAGGTATGCGAACCCGGTAGTCTTCTGTCTGGTCATTCCCATACTTGAAGTCCCGATGTCAGTTATACAACAGAAATGTCATTTCCAGCTCGGGGAGTGGATTTGGAGGCGGACGAGTTTGGAAGAAGAATCATTGTTTGATGATTCCGTATCGGGTGTTGTGGATTGGATACGCCTACCCTCAACAAACTTGACACTAGGGTTTTTTGATTGATCTGACAATAATATACCAAAGAGGCCGGAACCAAACTATCATCTGTTCAAACCTTGTCTTCAATGATCACTAATAATCGGCTCCAAGACCTGACATCCATGAAACTGGGTCGTTATCTCACAGGAGTTAGCCGCATGAAAGTAAAGCAAATCGACTATAACACGTAATTGTTTTCGCGAGGTGCAAGGGAAGGGTGACCAGCCGCAAGTCTAGACATTAGCAAGATTGTCTAGCTAATTGTTACCGAGGTGATAAATCGATGTATTGAAAAGTTGCACTTTTATCAAGACGGCACTGCTACAGCGGTCCAGCGTTAGCGCAGTTCGATTTCATGCTTGGTTTGTCCAGGTCAAGATTGGTTGCCAAACAAAGGCGATTATCTTATCTGTTCAGAGCTGTAAAATAAGCGGTGATCCTTGGACTGTTAACGGCAGAGAGTTCGACAGAAAACGATTACCTTCTCGTGATGGATTGGACGAAAAGCGGATATCCGGGGCTGCAACCGGATTGGTGGATCACTGGCAGTTCATTTAGGGGAACTGGCTAAAACCCTGATTCCAAACCAACCAAAGAGAGGGGTAAAAAGCACACTCATCCACACCTGTTTATGGCAATGAAACCCGGCTCGATCGGACCTCGAGGTGTATTGGGCACCTTAGACCTTTGACCCCATCCAAAGGGCTCATGAACCGATGGACTGGGCACCAGCCCCCAATGGATTACGGTTTTCACACATCACCCCGCTGCTTTGCGGATCAGGTTTTGGCAAGTCGGAGGCTTCGGTTGTGTTTTCCTCAAGAAAACTTCACCTGTCTTAGTCTGGGAAACCTGGCAGTATTCGGCCCACAAGGAAAAACGGAACTTTTATCTCTCTTACAAAAGATTATTGTACCATGATTTGTTTCGCCTCAGACGTGTAAGGTTTAAGATCAAACACTGACGCTGCGATGCGGCATTGGACTGTAAATCACTAAATTCCCAATTTTTATGCCAATGACTCTTACGTGAAAATGTGTTAGTTTTGTGGATATCTCTGAGGATGGTCGCTTACCGACGGCCATCTGAGGCACGAGAAGCACGGGTTTCAATCAGTTGAGGAGTTCGGTTCCGGCTACCGTACATCACTCACACGGCTTTGTGATCCATGTTCTCCCGATCTATAGAAATGCAGATCATCAGTTGACCACTGCAGTGAAAAATTCGAGTTGGGTGGGGTGTTGAAATATGACTTGGTTAGATTGGTTCAAATGTGATCTAGTGAAACCATTGCAGGTGCCATTTGTGTGTTTTGCTTGCCGTGGACGCACAGCATTGTTAGAAATCAGGACCTGTAATCTTACACCGAGGAATTGAGGAGGTACAATGTCCTGGACCCTAACTATTCAATCTCTGCAATTTTACGTGAGGATAGTAAGAGTACCGGTTGTACGAACGCATATTATTAGACTGTGGCTTCACGACAACCTTTGGAGTTGCGGGAAAACTCTCCAAGTGATACGTTCATGTTAATGTGGATGGTCGTTGATTCATTCTTTTCAACAGTTTCCTCCGACTTGTACGAGGTTTACAAGACAATTGACCCTATTCAGAAGAATCTCTGTATTGAATGTGTTTATTCTTAATCCTGTTGTTTTGAGGCGGTGTTGACTTTTGTTAAATGATTTGGCAGTCGAAACAACTTGATTGTCTCTTTTTTATTGAAACTGGGACATTTTGGGTCCCGGGCTCCGAATCATCAATCAGAGAGCTAGTCGCTTCGTTCAAGTCTGATTCTGGTTCAAATGCAGTCACAATCGGTAATTCACAGGAAAAATATGTTTAAAAAACCTGAACATCTTTCCGCGGGATTTAATATTGTCTATCGGGTTGCTTCTGCCTGACGATTTCGATTTTATTCAAACCGATGTTTTGTCGATCACAATATTCCTACACACCGACTTGATTAATCCTTATGCGTAGTCATATAAAGCTGCATGCATTTTTTAGTTGGTTGAACTCACTTTTGAAGCCAGTTATGCAGCATCCGAATGTTCCTTCTGAAAAATAATAAAAATGAGATTAATGCTTCACCCGCTAACGATTATTGTTACTTTTCAATGCTAATCAAACTGAAAGCACGAAGAAATTTTTTTTCAATATCTCGCTTCAGGCATTTACATATATAGTTCGATTAGTCAGTAGGTTAATACAAAGCCCAGGCTGAAGTTGAGTGAATGTCTGGGTGCAAAAGGTTCGGTTGACAATAAGCAATCGGATCACAATAATTAAATAGGGAAAATCCGGATGAAATTGCGTGAATTGGACATGATATGAAAGGTATTAGCCAAGAATGAATAAAACAAGTGTAAAAGTGTGCGAAAAAGGCAGTAAATGAGGAGTGGCAAGAGGGAGAGAATAGGCGTCAAATAGATATATGAGTAATTGTTCTTATGGCCATGGTAGCAGCAGCACCTGAACCAGATTACGTTGCCTGCACAACTCCGGCTTCCTGATCCTAATTGCTATGGATTCCGTAGTTGTTAGGATCTTCTTACGTAATCCTTTGGTGTGGTTCTTAGGCGCAGTGAAGAAACCTGTAAATAATGTTTTTGTGTCAATCTTGTATCCACTGTCGATCAAATAATGCAAGATTGAGCTGTTCAAGCTTCTCACTGTTCCTTTTTGAAGAGTGTCCGGGCAATGTTCGAACTTCTCTTGGATAAACGCCTCGTTGTGTGTCCGATATAGCAAGCACCATACGTGCACGTGAACCGATATAGAACAAAAGATTGGGACTGACGAGGCAATTTATCCTAAAGTAGTTCAACAATGAATGGCTTAATCCTGGATGAGAGTCTTAAATGCACCGCTGGAAAATAGTTAGCAATGGCTTTGGATAACCGATATTCCTGGATTTCTAATGCTTTGTCTCCCTTGAAGGGAACTTTGACAAAAACCTCTTTTCTAGCCAGTCGTACTTTTGCATCGGTTGGTTTCCATTCCATATGTCGTCGAACAAAGGCCTCTGGGTATCCGTTCTTCCTGATAATGTCTCTTGTGTAGGTCAGCTCTTCGATCATAGTCTCCAGACTACAAATTATCTTTGCCTTGTATGCTAGACAGTTCACTAAATTCCGTTTGAATCTCAGTGGGACGAAACTTTGAAGATGTATGTACTATCCAGCCCACGTGCACTTACGGCATACTCTTCCTTTGATATGGCCATCCTCTGTACAACGAAGACCAATGTCCAGAACGGCGAAAAAGTTGTCCTTTTCTATCTTCATTGTAAATTGCATACTCTGATGAGCGTTGTTAAATACTTCAGGTAACTTATTAATGTCCGTTCCGGAGTCAGATAGTGAACGTATCTTCCATATATCTGGTGTATAGATCTAGATTGTCAATTGTGTTCCTCAAAGGTCCATCTTCGAGCTTGGCTAAAAATATAACTGCCAGGAGTGGACCAAGCGGTGATCCCATTGCTATACCATCCTTCTGTCGATAGTATTTTTGAGTGTACAAAAATTGTACGTTTAAGTACATCCCAGTATGAGTTCTTTAAGTTTCTTCACGGGAATTTCGATCTGGATATTATTTTTAATGATGTATTGATAAATATGGTCTACCGTCTCCATCAGTGGTACATCTGTATCGAATGCTTGTTCACAAATGTGCCACTGTTGGAGACGTCGCGTTTCCACTGTGTTCTTATGCATCGATGGGAATATTTTACGGTAATCAAACTGTGAGCTAATGATCACAGTGAAAATGTACAGGATTTTTACTTAAAATAAGTTGGTGTAAGTTCACTGACCGCAGTTTTCGTTTATTCAATCATTAATCATGCATTTTTGTGCCCAGGGGTTTTGGTTGCTTATGTGGATGAAAGAGTAGTAGGCACGTTGGAATGTGGAAAGCAGTGTTAAGGTGAAAATGAAGAATTTAGATAGACTATGGATGTTAAGTGGATACACGAACGCCACGGTTTACGTCACTCAGACATATCACTCAATATATGTACCTATCGGTTTGACTGACCCCATCTAGGAAGCCCGGAGCGATCTATATGACCGCGTCTCCTGTTTGGGGATTTGCATACTCTCATGACAGGTCTTACTTTGAACATCATTGACTGTTTTTTCACGGAACACCTGCCTCGAAAAACATAACACACCACGGTCACATAAGTAACGCATGTCTCACTCAGCATGATCTACGGAGGTTGACCCCTTTTGGTCCCGTGGCCGATCGCGATTATCCAAAACTCAGCGTCTAACCTCAGCACTACTTTTCCGGTTCCCCTAAAAGAGACTCTGGCAATGCAACATAGACCGCGAGCTGTACATAACTGTAGCCGAAAGTCCGCACATGTGTGTGAGCTGCAATTTTATTTCACATTTAAGTAAGTAACAGATAGCACTGTAGCATACCACGCTGTGGGTCACAACCCTAAATCTCACAGTAACAGTTACCAATTATCTTAAACGCCTGGCAAGGTTTCATAGATGAGACACACCAGGAAATCGTACGCTTTTCCTCCTCCAGAATACGCTTTTAATACGGCAAGCATTGGTTTCATTCTATAGCATAGATTTATTTTTGCTTCCTCCCTCATTCCCACCCACCCCCCCAACATGAACTTCATTCAGATTGTGCGATATTCGAACGGTCCACTTAGTACTGAAATTTCGCACGAGCGATTGGAAGTGGAAGGTTGCACTTGCGATCGGGCCGACAATCCGTACAGAAACGACGAATGGACTAAATATTATGGCAATGGAGAACGACTGGATTACATTTTCTATCGAGCAGGTAACGGTCCTCTGGACTCCGAATCCGCCCCCAGTGAGTTCGTCTTTAGTTTGCACAGCCATTTTCCTTGTATTTTCACGCACCAATTTTGATTGTAGTCTTTCAGGCATTCATTGAATCTGCTAGTAAAGTCGACCAGTCTGATTTAAGCAACTGGGAATGTACAGTCTAGAGCTGATTTCAACTTATTCCAC